AGCACTTTGGCACGATGTGTCCAACGTTTGAGACGTCTCAGAAGACAATAAGCACTTTGGCACGATGTGTCCAACGTTTTCTAGTCAACTCAAAAGTCAAAATATCCAAGACCATGCGCGTGGCAATAGACGCGTGGGCATGGTGTGGCAAGCGCGTTGTTGAGTGGCTCGTTACTGTGGTTGTTGAGTGGCTCGTTACTGTGGGTGTTGAGTGGCTCGTTACTGTGGGTGTTGAGTGGCTCGTTACTGTGGGCATGATATGGCAAGGCAACACGCTGAGCTGCTCTCGTGTAGTAGTTTCGTCGCACGAGGGGCATGAGGCCGCTCCATTCCCTTACACTCGCTATGCTTGCATCGCATGCTCATCTCTATGGCAGGAGTTCCGATGCACGAGGGCCAAACACGCCATGATGAGGCAGCTCCATCCCCCCTTTACTCTTCCATGCTTGCGTCACACCCCATTTCCCCCAATAACCTTGGCAGGAATGCTGCTTCGGCGCAGCAGTTTTGGCAGGAATGCTGCTTAGAGCAGCAGTTTCGGCGCATGAATGCCCATCTGGCAAGCAAGGATGAGGCAGCTCCATACCCCCTTTCAACCCCCCCCCCCCCCCCGGACCCACGCGTCCCCTTCAACTCCCTCAACTCCACTGGAGTTTCGGCGCATGAATGCCCATCTGGCAAGCAAGGATGAGGCAGCTCCATACCCCCTTCACTCCACCATGCTTGCATCGCTCACTCATCCCCTCTTTCCTCTTTTGCAGGAATTCCGGCGCACGAGGGGCAACCTGGCCATGATGAGGCAGCACGCGGAGCTGCTCTCCTCCTCCCTGTCTCTTACACCCACACGCCTTCCAGAACCCCACCCCCCCCCCCCGCTCGTCCCACGCGTCCCCTTCAACTCTCTCAACTCCACAGGAGTTCCGGCGCACGAGGGGCAACCTGGCCATGATGAGGCAGCACGCGGAGCTGCTCTCCTCCTCCCTGTCTCTTACACCCACACGCCTTCCAGGACCCCCCCCCCCCCCCCCGCTCGTCCCACGCGTCCCCTTCAACTCTCTCAACTCCACAGGAGTTCCGGCGCACGAGGGGCAACCTGGCCATGATGAGGCAGCATGCGGAGCTGCTCTCCTCCTCCCTGTCTCTTACACCCACACGCTTTCCAGACCCCCCCCCCCCCCCCCCCCCCGCTCGTCCCACGCGTCCCCTTCAACTCTCTCAACTCCACAGGAGTTCCGGCGCACGAGGGGCAACCTGGCCATGATGAGGCAGCACGCGGAGCTGCTCTCCTCCTCACGTGCATCCACCACTGCCACCGCCGACCTCCTTGTGGTGCGCTGCCTTTCTCTCACGTGCCATGCGCACTCTGACTAGAATGTTCTAGAAGGAACCGTGCATGCTGCTGTCCCTTCCTCGCACCCTCCTCGCGTGCACCCACCACCGCTACCGCCGACCTCCTTGTGGTGCACTGCTTGCCTGTGATTTTCCATGCACGGTAGCGAAAGAATTGAATCAATATAATCGTAGATACTAGCAAACACAAAAATGCACACTACTGTACCGTATTCATGTCCTCCCTGTGTGCGTGCGTCCTCCACTGCCCCCGCCGACCTCCGTGTGGTGCGCTGCTTGCCTGTCACGTGCTGTGCATGCATGCATGCATGCTGCTGTGCCTCTGTGTTGTCACGCATTCACAGTCTGATTTGTGTACTGTGTGCTGCTTCCCTTGTGTCTGTATCAGCAATTGGCTGCTCAATTTTTGCCTCTTGCATCTTGTACCTTTCTCCCATTCCACCTCCGTACAGCCATCTGGTTCCAACAGCCAAAGTCAATTGCTGGAGAGGCGGGCAATTCATGGCAACATTGCTCAGGTGATTACAACATTGCTCAGGTGATTACAACATTGCTCAGGTGATTACAACATTGCTCAGGTGATTACAATATAGCTCACGTGATTACAACAGCCCTGCTCAGGTAACTCATAGAATAACAACGTAACTCAGTGCTAGTTCTGACGAATTTCGACTAATGGCACTGAGCTCAGGTGAAATTTCTTCTCACAACAATACAGCCTGCACTTTCATGTTATTCTGTTTCCACTTTCCATCCCTCTAGTATCATGCTGCCTCCCTTTCCCTCCTCCCTTCCCTCTCCCTTTCTCTCTTCCTTCCCCTCTCGCTTTCCCTCTCCCTTTCCCTCTTGCCGCCCTTTCCTGCCCTTCACCCAGCTGGAATGGATGCTCAAATTCCACTGACCCAATCCTTGATCCTCTCTCCATTCCTGCTCCCATCTCACCCCACCTCACCCCCACCTCATCCAACCCCACCTCACCTCACCCCACCCCTTCAGATGGATGAGCTCATCTCACACGCAGCGAGCACCAAGGCAGCTCTTCCTCTACCCAACTGAGATGTGCAATCCCAACCCACCTCACCCCACCCCACTGCATCCCTTCAGATGGATGAGCTCATCTCACACGCAGCGAGCACCAAGGCAGCTCTTCCTCTACCCAACTGAGATGTGCAATCCCAACCCACCTCACCCCACCCCACTGCATCCCTTCAGATGGACGAGCTCATCTCACACGCAGCGAGCACCAAGGCAGCTCTGGCGTCGCAGCGATCGCTCTTCGCGAGCATCCAGGGCCGCATCAAGCTGCTCTCAGACCGCTTCCCTCTGCTTAGAAGCGTTCTCGGTACGTTGCATTGCTTGGTGGTGCTTGGCACGTTCTATCGGTGCTCTTGAGGTGCTTGGTGGGCATTCAGGGCCGCATCAAGCTGCTATCGGACCGCTTCCCTCTTATTAGAAGCGTGCTCGGTGTGTCCTTGATGTGTGTGCGCATGTGTATATTCACCGTGTTTTTAATCGATTCAAAGCACGTCATTTATGAGTGTGCGCATGTGTATATTCGCCAAAATAAGTCTCGCAACACTTGTATCCAGCCCCGGAGCATGCAAATTCTCTGCCACCGTAACCTTCTTTCCTTCTCGCTCTTCCCTCCCATCCTCCCTCCTCCCTATTCCCACCTCTCCCACCCCCACCCTCCGCCCATGCGTGCAGGGGCCATTCGGCAAAAGAAGTCGCGAGACACTCTCATCCTCCAGGCATTCAACTCCTGTGCCACTTCCATTCTCATTCCTCCCCGTTCTCCTCCCTTACCTCCACTCCTCCCGCCCCTGCTCCCCACCCCCCCTCTCCGCCCATACCTGCAGGGGCCATTCGGCAAAAGAAGTCGCGCGATACCCTCGTTCTCGGGGCAGTCAAGCCATGTGCCACTTTCATCCCTCGTTCATCCCCGCTCTCCTCCCTTGCCTCTCCTCCTCATGCAGGGGCCATTCGGCGAAAGAAGTCGCGAGACACTCTCATCCTTGGGGCAGTCGTTGCAGAGTGCACCACGTTCATCCTCATACCTCCCTCTTCTCCCCTCCCTTCCATCCTCCCGCCTCCCCTTCCCCTTCTCCTCCTCCATGCCCACAGGGGCCATCCGGCGAAAGAAGTCGCGCGATACCCTCATCCTCGGGGCAGTCATTGCAGCGTGCACCACGTTCCTCGTTATTTACTGGCTCAGGAAATAAAACCAACCAGTCATGAGCAACAAACCCTCAGCTCACTCTTCGTGGCGCACTGCAGCAGTCGCTGCTGCATGCACCACACTGCTGCCGCCCTTGCCATGCTTCAGCTTGGGAAATGAACCAGCTTCTAACCCGGGGTCCTGTGACCCGTCAGGTAAAGACTCTTATGGAGGGAGCATCATCGTCTTGGCTTGCACCTATGGAGCATCATCTTGGTTTTCCGTAATACGTCGTTAGTGTATCAAAAAGAAACATTAGATATTGCAAGCTGGATTGTGCGGGCTTCTTGGTGTTTTATGGGGTGCCGCTGAGGGCACAATATATCATGCTTACGGTGTACATGTCCAATGCTGCAACAAAGGTTTTGATATCCATGCCAGGCCCCAAATTTCAAGGGTAAAATACCCTTTTTGCCCTGATGGTAGGCCGCTTTTTCCCAGTTACCCTTGCAAAAACAGGGTATCAAATTTATTACCCTAGAGCAAACAGGCTAAGATTTGATTTACACTGATAACGATTTCTGTTACCCTGCCGATATCAGGGTGCACTGTATACTTCACAGATACCGAATCCTCTTAGCGAGAGTTTTCCTTGCGAAGCTGCGAAAAATTTTTATGCTCCAGCCAGATTCGAACCTGCGACCTTCGGAACTCTAGCCTCACATCTGACTAACTGAGACATGTCCTGGTGGAGTCTTTCTCTAAGAAGTAATTTCATACAAAACCATTTCATCCTTTTAAAATCAGTGTACATGTTTTTTTAGGCTGTTTTTGGCAGGGTACGAAATATTTTACCCTAACAGTCAGGGTACTGGGGGCCTGGAACCCTGATTTGAAAGAGTGGACCTAAACCTATTTTGGGCCCTGATCCATGCAATTGGCTTCTCAATGCAGCCCCTTTGTATAGCAAAACACAACTCACAACTCTAGCACAACTAAAAAACAAAGCATGCTGCACTTGAGGGCCCTAGCTTTTCCAATCTCCATTACAGACATAAAATAGAGGCTCAAATGCATGGTGCTGACAGCAGCAGGCGTCACTCTCTTCCCATCCTACTCACTTTTGCCAAGCCTCGTGCAATCCAGAGGGCATATCAGGACCCACTCAGGGGGCTAACTGCTTATGTGCCTCGAGGATTGCACATGCTCTACTGCTGCTGCTGCTGCTGCTGCTGCTGCCAGCACCATGCTTGAGGGCCATATAAACTAAAAAAACTGTTTTATCTCCTAGTGTGCCAGACCTACTGTAGCTGCCCTCAGCACTGTAGCTTCCAGAGGTTAATTACTGCCCATGGCAAATGATGAGTTGCCCTCATCAGCCTGCTCTGCTGCAATGTATATATTATGCGCCGTATACAGGCCCTGAGATTCGAATCCTGAGATGCGGGGCAACTGGGAGTCTGGCTGCGTCACTGTCAGCTTCATCCGCACTTCACGACTTCCGCTGCGCCGGTTTCTTCAACCCGAACCCACCCTTCCCCGTGCCAAACCCGCTTTTCTTCCCCCCAAGAGCCTCCTTGTGCAGAAACAGCGCTCCCAGCTTCGAGGACTTCCCCACCTTTCCCTTCCCTCCTTCCCCCTCCCCTGCGCCCGCTTCCGCCCCAATTTTCCAGAGGAAATTCCCCTTGCTGTTCCGAATGCGCGCGGCTTCGTACTGGAAAACGACGAGCACGTCGCGTGTCGCCGCCTTGAGCAGCGCGTGCACGCAGCGTCGGAACATCGGTGGCGGCGCTAGCGACGGCTGCACCACCTGGTGCAGCACCAGCCGCGACGCCACACGCATACCCACACCATCCCCGCCTGACCCGCCTGACACGCGCGCGGTACCGTCCCCGCCTAACCCGCCGCACATGGCGCCGCCCCTGACGCTCGTGATGGTGGGGGCCGGTACTGTGCGGAAAGGGAAGCAGTCCGGGCTGCTGCTGGCACTGCCAATGGAGCCCCAGGTTGGAGCCATGATCTTTACGTGGCAGCGACTTAGTAAAGGAAAGGGAAGCAGTCCGGGCTGCTGCTGGCACTGCCAATGGAGCCCCAGGTTGGAGCCATGATCTTTACGTGGTAGCGACTTAGTAAAGGAAAGGGAAGCAGTCCGGGCTGCTGCTGGCACTGCCAATGGAGCCCCAGGTTGGAGCCATGATCTTTACGTGGCAGCGACTTAGTAAAGGAAAGGGAAGCAGTCCGGGCTGCTGCTGGCACTGCCGGACAAATAGCTGTCAGAAGGATCTGATTCTGAATCTGATTCTGAATCTGATTCTGAATTCGAAGCGGGGGAAGCGGCGTTAGCGGCGGAAGTGGCGGACGTGACGGGAGTGGCGGGAGCGGCGGAGGTGGCGGAAGCGGGGATGAGGAGCGGCTCGACCTGCCAGAATCCCTCGAATTTGCGCATGAAGCCGGGGCGCGACAGACAGAAGGTCACCCGGCGGTTGGGGCGGTCGTGCACGTTGCGCAGGTGCGCGTCGAACGTGCCTGTAAAGAAGGGCACCTTGAGCGCGAACACTATGTCCAGCTCGACCACCCTCACCCCGTTACAGTCACTCACGACGCGCTCGTTCTTCACGGATTTTATGAACGTGAACACGCGGCGGTTGCGCGGGTCACTTTTGAGTCGACTCAAAAGTCACCTGAACGTGAACACGCGGCGGTTGCGCGGGTCGCAGAGGATGGAGAAAACTTTTGAGGCGCCTCAAAAATCACCTCACTGCACGCGGCGGTTGTGCGGATCGCAGAGGATTGAGAAAACCGCGTCCGGGGGAAGCGCGACGGTCGCGACGCCGTCCAGCTGGCCGCGGCCGTGGTCCCCAACGGTAACTGTCATGGAAGGCGGCTCGTCCGTCCAGTGCGAGTCGTCGAACCACGCCGCGAGCTGCGAGTTTATGGCCTCCTCCCAGGGCTCTGACGCGGTTCGGATGGTGGCTGACGTGGTGTTCATAGCGGCTGACGTGGCGGTGACTGCGGGTGACATGGCGGCTGGCTAAACGAGCAGCTTCAACGGTGTTGCTGACGGCAGTGAATACGAAGCTGTGGCTCTGACTATCTGAAAGGCACCGCCGCTCGAAACTGCGCTGTTTGGTAGGCGGGACCGCGCTGCGTAGTATAGTCTTACGTGCTCAGCAGCGGTGTCCTATGCTGGCTTTCTGATGCGAGTGTCATGCATTCCGCTGGAATTTATAAACGTACGCGCCAACGCCGCGGACGGGAGCAAGGCGCGGGGATCTTGGAGTGCAAGGAAGGGGACTGGCGTTTCATTACACCTATCCTGCGATAATTCCACACCCCCTATCTTCACGCCCTGGGGTACCTACCCTCGAAAAAGTCTCATTTCGAAGGTAGTTAGAAACGATCGCGGGAGTTTCGAGGGTAATAAGACACGACCTCAATGAGAGTTTAACACTCTATCTTTAAGGCACTGAGAATTTTGCCCGCTCACTCTGATTACAAATTTGAGTTTCGAATAGCCAGAACGCTGACGGTTCTTTACTGATAGACCCGTAGTGTCAGGGTGTCCGTCTCATCGATCCTCAACTCTACAAAGAATTTGGGCCAAAAACAATGCATGTACTAAGCGCGAACAATGTTCTAAGTACCTCGTGGGAACAAACTTTTAGGTTTACTATGCGCATTGCACATGTAGTCCCAGGGTAAGTTCAAAGTTACTCTAGGAATACTTGCGAAAGGATTCTTTGTGGTTTCCACGTTCATTGGAGGAGGATTGTAAGAACTTGATACAGAGTACACCGATAGAGGTATAGCAACATTGCGTATAATACACTGAGTTGAGGAAACACTTTACAACTACATTTTCATAAAAACATTTGTGCTTAAACCGGATGTGACTAAACGAAAATTTGACGTCATAAACCAATATAGTGTACAGTATTTAACAGAAACTACACCTACAAAACATTTAACGCTTATAGCTTAATTTTTTTTTCCGATTACTGTTCCCTGTTCCAAAAATAATTGTTTGTGACGGCCTACTAAATTGCACTTACGCTAAAATTACAACTCAGTTTAAAAACTACATAACCTATGATCTTAGAGTTCATAGCATCATATTGACATGTGCTTCAAACAAAAATGGTAGCATAACGAGCTACCCCTGAAAGCCAATGATGTACTTCCGACTTAGTAGGAAGACCACAAGCTGCGCATTGCTCGCACACAACCAAAACACAAACGAAGCACCTGGTTGAGGGTGAAAAGCTACCTTTCAGCATAGAGGAAAAAAACAGAAAGTACGAAGCGTTTCAACAATACCCACGCATACGCCAGTCGACATTAAAATTATTATGTCTTCATTGTCCACACCGGGCGTGATGACTTGACTGATAGGTCGAGCGTTTGTACAATATAGAGCGCCATAACTGCGAACGTAGGATAAACAGACAATAAAAAACTAGTGGATAGTCAAGGACTCTGCACAATAGTCACACGTATTCCTTAAAAATAGATGAGAAAGAGGCGCGGCGTAGAGATAGTACATTGATCGGAGTGGCCTTAGCTCGATCAGGAGCACAAGGAGTCGAATGTACCGACGGCAGAGATGGCGCGGCAGCGTGCGCACTTGCTGGGCACCGCGCTGGCGCTGGGATGGTGGCTCGTCGTCGTTGTCGCGCTCGTCGCGTGCCGCCCGTCGCTCCTAGTCATCGTTGTCGCGCCCGTCGCTCGGCGTAGTTATCGCGCCCGTCGATCGCCGTCGTTGTTGCGCCCGTCACTGGGGAACGCCGTGTCGCTAGAAGCCATACACGATGCTGCTCACATAGTAATCTGTTAGAGACAGGGGGCAGAATGGTAAAATAAGAGAAACGGGAGGGGCGGAGAGTTAGTAAGCAAGATTCGTTAAACTACAGTGAAAAGAGCGGGGTAGACATGTACACAGCGGCTCGATGTGAGATCAGTTTGAGCAGGAACACTAGGAGAGCAAGCTACTAGCTTGGGAAATGGAGAGGTTGGGAGACGAAGGTATGAGCGGGCACCTTCAACGCACAGAAATGTCTCTGGTGCTTGAAAGTGGGCCACTTCAACGCCCTCATTTCGGCTCACAAGCCGATAAGCTTGCCAGCTGTGCCAACGATGCGCGGTTGGGGCTAAAACAGAGGCTCGCGAATTGACGAGTTGAGAGGCGATGTGGTTACTGCTGCTCGGAATTGCTAATCGCGGGGTTGCAAAACACGTGCTGGGTGTGTGCTGTTAAAAACCTTCGCGTCATGGGGGATGGGCTCGTACTGACGTGTCACACCTTATCTTAATCCACAAGGACCTCTCATCTCATCTCTGTAGATCGAGTGGAACTTGTATGAAGTGAAAAAAAAACCCATATTTATAGTATCGAGTGGAACTTGTAACAAGGACAAAACCACCACACGTGAAACAACCAGCGCGGCCAATCAACACGCGCTTGTCACAGAGTGCAAGGCCAATCAGCACACGCTTATCTCAGAGTAGCGCAGCCAATCAGCACGCGCTTGTCTCAATGTTGCGCGGCCAATCAGCACGCGTCTGCGGTAGGGTTCGCATACATGTGCAGTGCTCGCAGTATCTCGTAGTGTTTCCGATCTCTCCAAACCATTCATCCAGCCTTTCGCAGACTTGTGTTATTTTGTGAATACCTGCGCATGGTGGCCCTTTCGGTGTTTTTGGGGGCCCTCATTCTTTGTTGAGAAGCCGTATAGGGTGTCTGGCGAAAACGGGGGTAGGGGGTGTGGAAATACCGGAGAACAGGTGTAGCTGGACGCACCGCACACCGGGCGGCCCTAGGCCTCGCGTCGCGAGCGACTCTAGAGGCTATCGATGATACGCTACGCGGCGCCGCATGATGCTAGAGAGAACAAACAAACGAACTCATTGAAACTAGTGATTGGTGGCCGACCTAGTACGTGTACTATTAGTAAACTCGGGCTCTTTCTGGCCTAGGTCGTCAGCGACGTTTGGACGTAGGGTTAGATGCGTGAAGATCGCGCGGAGGTTTGGGATTGGCGGTACGTTCGGCCCGTTGCAAGATGGATGGCTGGGAGCTGCTGAGAGTCGAGTCCAGTGAAATTGCGTGACGTGGCGCTGCGTGGAGGTGGGAAGGGATTCATTGGTAGGGGCACCAGGTTGTGATCGCGAGCGAACCAGGAACCAGGGTTTCCGTACGGTGCGCGGCTGGATGAATTGAATTGAAACGCGTGCACCAAGGCCAGCAAAATGGAGCCCCCCCGCCTTCCCTCCTCTGAGCTAGGATTTTCGCCCACTCACCTATTGCGCCGAGCCAACCACATTACCGAGACCATTGTCCTTCGGTTCATTCTACCCAATGGTTGGCCTGCTTCAGGTAAGGAAAGTTCGCTCTGCTCTGACGTGTGGATCACTGGTTGGGCCTTTGTTGTATGTTTATCGCAGGTTTTTTGGAGTCCTCAGAAGTTGAAGCCACCTGCCTCCCCAGTTTATGGTTCAAGTGACGTATGGGCATCTCCATTTTCCAGCGTCTTAAAGTTGTCCCCAAGAGTCCGAACGGACTCTTTCTGGACGGATTCCGGACGTGCAGAAAAAGAGACTTTTTGGACCAAGGCCTGCTACATTCCGGAGTCTGTTTTAGGTCCGACCAAAGAGTCCGCGAAGAGTCCATTTGGACAATACGAAAAGCGAAGGCAATATGTGTACATCACGTACCCGATATACTAAGATGCGTTTTACCAATAAAATTTATACCCAACCATTGTTTACATGATTTTTAATAAAGAACATGCAAAGGCATTTCTACTTATACAAACTGCTAGAAACTAAATAATGCATTGCCAGATAAATATACGAACCCCCATTAGTTAATGCTTAAAAGAAAAATAACCTGCACGGATTGAAGAACAATATTGAATGAGCCACAAGGTCCATTCCAAAAAATAATAACTACAAAATTGCTTATACTAAAACGTACAAACCGTGGTGACTGATGACACATTGTCCAACAAGGTTGAAAATAGTCACCAGAAACGATTGAAACAAACATCTCCATTTACACGGTGATTAATACATCTCTGAATACAAGAAAAACCAATAAGTACAAGACACACTGGCTATATCAACAAATCATTAAGCAAATTGAGCACCACCTTTGATGGGGCCTCTTACCAGCAACCCGTCACGACCCTTTGCAGCGTCCTGACAAAGCAGCGCCCGACGCGTACCTTAGTGATAGAGAACTAAATGGCGGCTGTGAAATATTAAACAAAACCTTCAGATTGCGAGCACTTTCAAAGGGGAGGAAACAAACAAAACCGCGAAATCAACGTGAAGCTTGTATGTACGTATAAGTCGGTAACCACAAAAAATGCCAACATTGAATCAAACAAACCGACCTGCGTGATGACACATTCACCCTCTATGAAGGAAATCTTCACCAAATGCAACTGAAACAAACATCAGAAGGTAAGCGATGATTAGCAACCGTTAACACACAGGTTCATATTGAATTAAACAATGTAATTACCGCTCTTCATCGCGCCTCTAAGCAGCAGCCGCATTAGCAGCGCCCGTCGAGCACTTAAGTTGCACCCATCTCGTCTCTTAGCAGCACCCGCCGTAGCAGCGTCAGTCTCGCTCCTTAGCAGCGCCCATCGCGCTCCTTAGCAGTGCCCGTAGTGTCAGAAATAACTGAGCAGGAATGGTGTGACTAACAGGAACAACAGTACAAATATGAAACCCTAACCTGGTATACCCCCTAAGGTATCACCCACTACAGCCTAGAACAATATAAACATATAATGTTTGACACACCCCCATAGGCAAAGTGGGGAAGACCTAGGGGTCACAAGACCAGTCAAGGCAAAGCAAGACAACAACAAGCTCAGGGTGGACCTCAAGGGTTCCACACAAATTCCGAGCACAAACTAGCGGTCACAAGCCCAGTTCACATGCAAGTTTATAACAGATCATGATATACAATGATCACAACCTAGCAAGAGTAGACATGCAGGCATATATATA